GGTAAAATGTCGGGCCAAGTTTTACTTGTTGGATTGACTATTTTAGTGATGAGCCGTACTTATTGTACTTGTAATGTATGAGGAAACATGAGCTTTATCACTAGGATCGAATTTAGCTCCAATTCTCCCAAATAACTACGTGGTCCAAGTGGAATTGCTTAATTCAAGAAAGTTATTATTAATTGGGCATATGGACAACTACTTTGGTGTTTGGCAACCTAACAAAGACATATTTGAAGAAGTACTTGAGCCAATCGTCTAGATAAAATTACAACTTTTATATGGGGTTAAGAAAAGATGACCAGCTACTATTTTGGGATTTCTTAAAAAGTAAGTGACTAGTTTGGGTTGAGGTGTGTCTGGGAGGCTGAAGAAAAGCTAACTTTCAACGAATCCATTAGTAATTTTCTAAGACTCGATCATTGATTTCGAAGTTAGAGTTGTAGGTAAAGGATTCATGGAATGTCCTCACTGGAAACTCAAATAAGGTTGCCTTGAAGTACCGATTGCTAGATTTTGTAAAGATCTCCTATTTTCACCGCTTTTCTACCCTGAGGCACCCGTTTGGCACAGTGATGCGAGGACTTCTTCGCAAAATATAGCAGTCTTCACTCCAATGTAATATTCCTTCGATTTCCAAAAGGACAAATACTTACAAATCTTCATCTGAAACGAACATTCGAGTTATTTCCTTTTTGATATCTTCACGAAATTTATGATAATAAGAAATTTATTGCGAGCGGGACCAGTAAATTGAAGCTATTGGACATTGTTGGGCATTTCAATTCCAATTAATATATTTCAGGAGAGGAAAATAGACCACTTTTCTCGGTTTCTGATGTTTGACTGTCAGATTTCCGAAAAGGATAGGATAATTAAGGTGTAAGTTAAAAACACCAGTAATTTTTATTTTCATTGGACCCTTTTCCTCGATCATGATGCTACATCTAAACACAAAGCCTCCGGTTTTTCGGATAGAAAATCAGAGTCAGCAGAACAGATTTGCATCACAAATCACCAGACAGAATGGTCCTAATTAAACGTTTCGCAGAATATAGAGATTTCACAACTATCTGGTTAGGATAAAGACATTCAAATCACACACGGCTTCTGAGCTCAGCATACTAACAACACATGTGCAATCACACGTCAGAGACAAAAGCTAAGCATGGATGAGTCAGGGCTACGGGCCTCTTCGCACACTCAAACAACTGCAGGACAATTTTTCTTCGGGCTTAGAGGAGGCCAGTTTATGAATGCTTTTCAACCAACCTACCCTTTCAAGCGAATGTTCCGGCGACTTTTAATTATTAAGGCAGTCTTCTCATCTTGTGGGCCCCCTGAAAGGTTATCTGGCACTGCCATAATCACCATTCACCTCTTTACTTCGCTTGGCACCAAAATGTTTTATAGGCAGTGTTTTTATTCACTTTCTGATATAGGTCCCGGCTTTGCTGCTGAGCAACCTTTGGGGATATGGCGTTAAGCTTAATAGCCGCTCTATATTCAAAAGCCTCCACCCAAAAAATCGTTTGTTGGCTAATGATAAAGCATAAATGTCTCATAGTTACATAATACAGTAGCCATCCGAAATAAGAGAAAATGTTAAAATTTGGCTCCTACATCTAACATTTAGCCGCATATTTATACGGGCAGGGAAAGACACATTCTTTTGAGCATTTGCATTCATATTAGAAAGAGGCCTAAAGAGTTTGAGCAGTCTGAAAGAAACTTAGTCAGCACTTTGATGTGATGGAATCTTAAGTTTAATTTACCTCACTTGATATTATATGGTAAAATTTCCACATAAATATTTTTAACTGTTTATTCTTATATATATATATATACACGTAAATAATGTGTGATATAATAATAATAAATTAGTATTGATATTAATCACATTTATATTAATCACAAGTTTAAATTGGGCTGTTTTGTTTCAAACCAAGTTTATTTCCTTCACTCTTCTATCGGCCTTCACCGGCAGAGTGAAGTGTCATGCAAACCCAGTTCTCACAAACTCCCTGGTGCGTGCCAACGAAAGGTGGGCCAGTTTTTTTAGCTGAGGTGTACAAGAACTAATGTTTCGACATCGTTAACTGGATGATTGATGGGTATATTCATAAAATTAGCATTAGTCGGTGTTTAAAAAAAAGAAAAATGAAAGAATTGGTTTTATTTTCAACAAGCAGATGCTACCATCTACATAGGGAATCATAGTCCATTCAAACAGAAAACCGTCAACATGAGGGCATTTCGGAAGAGTGATGAATAATTTACCACACCTAAAACAGTATCGAGAAGGTTTCACTCCCATCAA